GTAGTATTTCAAATCTTTACTTTCATTGGAAGATATTATTTCTGATCCACAAAAATCTTCGGTGGGCGTTGCATTCCGTCCGTCCCAGTATTTCCACTTAGACTTTGGAGTACCAACTGAAAAACCCTTGTGATGCTTTGCGTATTCCAAAATGATGGTAACATATTCGTTTCAATTTTCGTCCAATGCCAGCATAAGTTTGGAAACCACCCCACAAAGTACTGTAGGAGTGATTGAACATCCCATGGTAGTCTTTGATCTCCTGGTCGTTTCGCCCACCAAGGAAAATCCAAACACAACAAGTTTGACCCCATACCATTAATGTCAGTAATGACAGCTATGAACCTGCAACGTCTGCCTTTATTGAACGCTTTGACTTGCATGTCCCGTTCGTCGTTGGGGTCGTAAATACTGTCAGTGTGCCGACTGTAATGGCGACGAAGTAGGATCATCCAAGTAGATCAATCAACCTCTGCTCCTTGCACCAATTTTGGCCATCATGGACTGAACAAACGTATCACGTGCCAGTGCAATCGACGGTGACAACTTGTAACAAACCACACCCTTTTTGCCACGACTGTACCCATGAGCAAGGAGAAACCGCTGAACAGAACGGTGGCAAGTCTGTAGTCAGCTGGCGAACCCAAATCTAATCGACGAAGCCACGACCGTACAGTTGACCCAAAACGTCCTTTGCAACAGTGCGGGTGCGTGTTTCGCAGCGCTTTCGTTCAAATTGCTGCACGAGAACTTGGACGTACTGGTTGCAAGGAACACGGGTTGCGTGGACAGTACCGTTGCCGGGAAGTTGAGCAACAACAGACATTTCGAGCATGTATTCACGCCAGACTTCTTCTACGGTTCTTTCGCTGCGACCGAGCATTCGACCGACCTGGACGTAAAAAGCGAAAAACGGGATTTGAACCCGCAACCTTAATCTTGGCAAGATTATACTCTACCAATTGAGTTAGTCAACATATGTAGCCCCAGTGTGACGGAGAAAGGTATAACGACGCAAAATGTCGAGCCTTTCCTCCTTTGTAAGGGCACGTGGGCGCTCAGACTTGACAAAAGCAACGACTTGTTCAAACTCGGACGTGTTCATTGCATAGGTTGCAAAATGATCTATCATCAACTGCTCAGGGATTTGATTGCACCACTTGCTTTACGTAAACCTACGACTATTTATTTCGTTCGGTTACGCGAAAATATATGGTATTGGAGGACATTAAGGTCCACAGTTGAAATTGACTATCCTTGTGTGTTATGGATAATACTATCCACATACGAAATTTGAGATGATTTTGTATTGATTTGATCAAATTATGGCCATTTGGTTACTGTCAAATCACCATGGCGGAAATGGGCCACTGCACATAACGTTTCCGACGGAATTTCGCGATGGTCGTCGTCAAAAAGACAGCATTTGTCCTCGATGTCGCAGGAACAATAACGGATGGACACATTCCAAGCGGTTTTCGTGGCTTGAAAACCTAACCTCCTTCGGGTGTCACTCAGTTTCCCTCGGTCTGGGCACATCACATCGAAATCTCGACATCATGCCACCAATGGAGAGATGGGTTTACATGCGATTCAGAAGCAGGTAGAGACATCTGCTCAAGATATAAACCCACAACCAAAACTAACAGTCCTGGAAACTGGGTTGCAGGTCTGTTTAGGTGTCGGTGTCTGCTGAATATAATGACATGTTGAGTTACTTTCGAATTTGCCTTCTGGTGCACAGGTGCACCCGTCTCAACTCGAATTTTCTGTGCAGCTATGCCCACCGCTTCCTCCCGTGCCTTTTCCCGCGATGCCGCCACCTCGGCGACACCGCGCGTTCCCCGCCATGCTTCCCGTGACAGTCGCCGCGACGTCTCCCGTGCTGCTGTCAACGACAGCGACGCCAACGCCATCCCGCCCGACGTCGCAGTTGCCGGTGCGGCTGAAAATCGGCCTGATCTCACCACCAGAGAAGGCGAAACCGCTGGTAGGGCAGTAGGCAGTGGCCAATGCGCCACTGCCACGAGCCTCGATGCCCTCGTTGGAGTGGGCGCCGGCGTAAGCGCGACCTCTACCGGTGCAGATCCCTCGGATCTCTTAGCGGCTCAGCTTGACTCCCGTCCCCCCTCTGACTGCTTGAGTTCGTCGTTAACTCAGCAATCGACGGGGGCAGTCGAAGCTATCACCTCAGGCGATTCCTTGGAATCCAGTGCATTGGAGGGTCCTGCGGAATCCTCTGACTCTGGTTCCATTGCTATCGCCCGTCGGGTAGCTTCGTCGAGTCGGCTTTGCTCGCTAAAAGAACGAGGAGACTGGCCAGATTCTCATGCTGCCCTGCAACTCGCCTCGTCTGAACTTCCCTGCGACAATGCAGGGCCTGCTCCGTCGAAACGCCTGCGAGCGCACCCACCGTCACGTTCACTGGATTTTTCTATGGACATTGACACGGGTGTGCTTGCAAACGCCGGTCAAGCCGAACATCCTGGTCTGCCGGCTCTTTCTGCCGCTTCTCGTGCCGCTCCCGCTGGTCTCGACCTTTTTCTCCCTGCCCAGCTGGATACTCCAGACGGCGATTTGTTGAACTTACTTCCGTCCTCATTGGGTCTGGAAATATCTTCAACATATCCCCGTCTGGACACCCCCACCCCCGCTCAACCCGCCGACAGCCCTGCTGGCCGCCCGCCCATTGGCCGCTCTTATGCGGGGGCTGCTTCTGCCACGAAGATCCCACCACCGAACGTCGACACCTGGCGTCGCGAATGGTACACCACTCACCAACGTGATGCTAGCGCTCTCCCTGAAGAATTAATTCTTCAAGCGCTCCAGGCGTCGCCGCAAGAACGTTGCGCTCTTGTTCCGTCTTCCCCTTGTGCCAGGGATGACTCTCATGAGTTTTGGACCCCTGCGGCCAACCTCACTCAAGCCTTTCCGCTGGCG